CTGTCCGGCCCGGCCAGTGGGCGCTACTGGGGTTCTGTTGGGACGGTTTACTATACTACCAGGTTTGTCTGCCATTTGAGGCTAGAAGCAGGCCACGGATTTTCAATGATTTTGCCACATGTTTGCGCCTATGTGTTCCAGGATCAGACATCGGACGTGTATATACGCAATTATTTAGATGACTTCTTCGGGATAGGGCGCGGAGGATAGGACAGTGCCGACGTAGCGTATGCGAGACTGCGAGACATTTGTGCGAAAGTGTGCGTGCCGCTGGCCGAGCGGAAATGCGCCCCGCCATCAACACGGATGGAGCTTCTCGGGTTGTGATCGACACAGAAACAATGACCCTAGCGTTGCCAGACGCCAAGCTAGTGGGCACCCAGGAGTTACTAAAGACATTGTTCGGGCGACAGAAATGCACACAGCGGGAACTGCTGTCGGTGGTGGGACGTCTAGTGCACGCCAGCAAGTGCGTCCCGCCGGGGAGGGCGTTCACTAGACGCCTGCTAGATGCGGCGCACTCTGTTAGCGGACCGAACCGCCGGGTGCGGATCACGGCCGATGTACGGGCGGTTTTACGGTGGTGGGCCACTTTTTTTGCCGATGTGGAACGGCATTCCCCCCCCCCTCCCGCCACCGGGCGAGTACGACCACTGTATTGTGGTGAACACGGACAGCTCACGTCGGGGGATGGGGGCGTGGCACGGAGACGAATGGTGGATGATGGAGTGGCCCCGCGAGCTGCAGTGTGACGTCGCGCCGTCCATGACGTGGCTGGAGCTCATCTCCGTCATGGTGGCATGTTTGGTGTGAGGAGAGGGATGGGGCGGGCACCGCGTGCTGATCCGGTCCGATAACATGGGGGTGGTGGGGGTCTGGGGGAGGGGATGGTCGGGGTCGCCACTGATTATGGCGCTGCTGCGTCAGCCCCTGTTCTGGACGGCGTTCCATGAGTCCCCTGTATCCGTCGAGTACGTGGCAACGAAAGAGAACGGCGCGGCCGACGCGATCAGTCGGCACTAGAGATGTCAATCGGATACCGACTTTTTGGTATACCGATACCAAACCGATACCAACTCGGTATTTGGTATTCCAATCCTAATGTGTTTGGTATTTTGTTGGTAAAATAACCCTCGCTAATGTTCAAGAGGCTAAGAAATCGGTAAAAAGTTGGTATTTTCCTCATGTTCCCAAGTTGGTTTGGTTTCGGTATTTCTTCACGGTTTTGGTTGGTAATTGGTTTGGTATCGGTATTCCGATTTTCCGTAATTGACATCACTAGTCGGCACGACTTGGCGCGGTTTCCGGCGGCTGCGGCCACAGGCGGCCCAGTGTCCGGTCCGGCCCCCATCGTGTGTGGCGGAGTACCTACAGGACCCGAGCCGTGGAACCCACGTGCTGACAGGTACCGCCTGTGAACCCTGTGAACGGGACACGCGCGCATAATCTAGTATGAATACACATACCCTTGGTTCCTTTGGGGTGTTTGGCGGTGGCTCGCACAGAGCTGGAGGCGAAGATAAACCCGGGTGTTGACGGCCTTTCACAGCCAAACAGGGAGAGGAGTTGATCGGAGGACACGCTAATCAAGCATTAACGGGACGTTGAATCGTGATTAGCGGGCCGAGGTGACACGACGCGACACCGAGCCAGTGGGGTCCAGGGAAGCGGGAGGGGGAGGGGGGGGGGGGGGCGATACCGAGAAGGGTGGAGAAGAACAAACAGAACCGCGGCGGCCCCGCCGTGGTCGGCCGATAACAAGCGCAGTGTGAGCCGAGCCGCGGTGCACGAGGGGTGCGCGGAGTGTTTGCCCACCCACCATCCCCATCATCACCGTCCTGTCCTTTGTTCCCAAACGACCCTCGTCGTCCACCCGGGTTTGACGAAGCGGTGGCTCGCACAGAGCTGGAGGCGAAGATAAACCCGGGTGTTGACGGCCTTTCACGAGTCTGCCCGGGCCGGGATGGGAGCCGCGATCGAGTAATTTCGCTCTCTATTTCGACCCCTCATCAGTGCGGTGATCACATTAACGCCGGACGGCCCGCGGCCAGACGCCGTCCAAATGGGATCGGCCCAGAATGCAATCTGCCCGACGGCCGCCTGCAGACGACGCAGCTTCGTTACACCCAGACTGAACGCGACTTGGAGGTGGAACACTGTCTTCAGAGGCCATCAGGAACCTAACAACTTCGTATAATACCCTGCGGGTTGGGGACTCTTGGCAACACACCGTCAGTATTACGTTTAATTTCGGGACGAAACTGCTAACTCAATAGCCACGAGCCAATGAAGTTCCTCGCCAGCGCGACACACTTCCTTTACCAGGTAAGCGCTGCGCATCCATCCAGGCACGCGCCGAGCTCTTGCCACCACGGCGGACAAAGGCTCCGACCTAAGATATTCCCCGTTGAGCCGATCTATCAACACCATCCGCCCCCAGAATCGGCCGAACGGTCGGCAAAAAGGCCGTAACTAACGCCGCCCCGATCGGCAAAAGGGCCGTAACTAACGCCGCCCCGATCGTTCTGCCGGCGGTAGGCCGGCCGACCGGGAGACGGGGGCGCTGAGAGGTGCGCGCCGCACCTACGGCCAAGCTAGCACCCGAGAACAAAGCCGAGCAGGACGGTGGGTGCCACGCTGCAGCGGCCGGCCGGCGCCCGCCCACCGCGCCACCCCAGCCGCTGCCGAGACCGTGCGGCCACGTTATGCAAATGGACCCGGGTCGCTAATCAACCGCGGTCCCGGCCGGCACGAGTAAAAAATGGACAAAAACCGGCACAGGGCGGTGAGTGGCCCCAGGCCTTCCAGTGCAGTCGTCACTGCTTTCTCGCAGGTCTGTCGTCCTGATAAGGTTGAAACCGGTATCAATGATGTTTAGACTGGCTGACATTAGATAACTGTGTGATAAGTATTTGTGCTAAGTAGAGCGTGTGTAGTAAGTTGAAATTAACTTTCTCGTTTTATTTGCTTGAACTGATTAAGCGGCCGACAGAACCACGTTTTTCAGCGATGTTTCTAGGATTGACTATCTAGAAACCAATAATCCGCACGTGCACGGTCAAACAAAAACGGTCAGTCGTCGCATCCAACATATTACGGAATGCCGTTCTTGACAGCGGCCAACATCACAGCGATCGAGCTCGGTAAAAACCATCTCGCACTGTCGCGCCGAGCGCTGCGCAAACACGTCGTCCGACTATCGTCTGCGGCCAGCGTCCGATGTGTCGCAGAACAGGCGCCGATGACCTGAAGGCGAGGGGAGATAGCCGGGCGGTAAAAACCGGACAACACACCGCGCCCTGTACTTCCTTCCGTCGACGTCGGCACACAGGAAGATGGAGCCAGCCGATAGAAAGTCGAGCACCGTGGAAAACAAAAGCAGCCATTAGCTCGTAACGGCCAGTGGGTGCCGCGGGGCATGAAAGCAAGATAATGGGAGACGATTGAGGTAATGAGTTGAAAAACAACACATGTCGGTAACATAACCATAAAACTGGTCGCCAGGTGCGCACCTCGGTACGATCGGTGATAGTGTTGTTCCACCTTCCCGGTCGTGATACAAATCGCGGCGCTTTTAGACCTCCTCTCCCTCCGCTTCGCTCCCATGGCCGTCCGTGTTTCTGGCAGACAACAATGGGCGTCCATCGGCGGCCGGTCGGTCGGCCGCGGTCCGCCGCTCGGCTGTCGGTGTGTGACCCAGATGCCGTCCCTCCCTCCGTCCGCCGTCCGCGGCCACTAACAGGCCGCCGAGAGCCGGTAACAAGGCTGAGAGAGCACGCCTCGTGCCCGTAACACAGGCGGCGGCACGGCGCCGCGGGTCGGCGACCGGCGGTAGTCGCGACAGCGGACGACGCGCCGATACTGAGCGGTGCACTCGGTCACCCCTGCGACAGTCGCCGGGCCCGCGGCCAGCCGGCCGTCCCGCGAGACGTCGGCGGCGACGATCGACAGCGCGGTCGGTTAATCGGACAGACGGACTGCGGACGCCGCAGGGGCCGCAGTGGAGATGATGGCATGGATGGCGGCAGAGATGAGGTCATCAGAGGCGCCCTCGGGCGGTATCTCATCAGCGCGCGCCAGCGTGACTGGCACGGCACGGTACGGTCATGGGGCCACGAGGAGGGAGTAGAACATAGCGGCCTGTATAGAACGAGGGTAATATTGATTGTGGGCTGTCGACCCTGACAGTCTGCCAAACAGGAACGTCAGGCATCGATGATCGAACCGGGCATGACCACTGATCAGCGACAAATCAAGCGAAAGCAGCATTCGATGTGACTACATGAGCCCGCTCCTTCACCTGATAGGACACCACACCAGTCCCTCTAAAAATACGCTCGACAAAATACGAGTGCCCCGCGAGATTTCTGGGTGAACCCAGCCAAAGGCCGTCGAGTGGTCTAACAGAACTCTGGAGTGGTCGCATGTGCTCAGATCGCTCTGAGCGAGAGCGGCCGAGTGTTCCGACGAGCGCCAATGTCCGATACGTTTCCAGATGTGACCACCACTGGTGTGGTCATTACTATAACCGGCGTCTGGTCGCTGACCGGCGAACATGGCTCGTCACATGGCGCGGCCGGCCGGCAGCCACCACAAAGACGGGACGACGCGGCGGCGGCAGTGGCGGCGGCGGCGGCCCGGGAAATCAATACGCTCCGGAGGGCGGCGGCGGCGCCCGGCCGCGGACCCCACTACGTGCGCCGGATGGCAATGGCCACAGGTTGGACGGCCATGGCGCACCTATGGTCGTGCCTTATTCAGCGCGGCCACCGGTCACCCGGAAAAGAGTCCCGCGGATGGAAGTGAGGATAATGCAGCGCACTTCGGAACCTGTATGGACGCGACACATCGCACCACACCATGCAGCAAAGGTAGGCACGAAATACATCACAACACAGCGGAAGGACGATGCGATACTCGTATACAATCAACGCATTAAAAAATAGCTTGTTCTTATCGCTAGCGCGGTCAGCCAGCCGTGGTGAGCGCTGGGTACTTACCGTGGAGACGCACTTCTTCCCGGGCGATATGAACTCGAGGCCGCGGTCCGCCTTGCCCTGGTAGCACTCCATGATGTTCCGAGTGAAGGTCTGTCGGATCGCCTTCAGAGGGTACACGCACAGCGCCGAGCGGTTGGTGGGCTTGTTCGAGTTCTCGCCCTCGCTGGTCTCACTGACACTGAACACAGCGTAAAGTACGTCACTCTGCGGGCTGACACTCAGCTTGGAGGCCAGGTGGGGGCCGGCGCTGGCCACGTGCGCCGCCTGCGCCAGGTTGTATTTGATGCCCGCCGAGTCGATACAGTCGATCGGAATCTCCGTGTAGGAGTAGTAGTGCGGGTCGTCCTGACACACACGCACCAGTTTCGAGATGTACGGACTTAGCTCGTTGCTGCGGCGCATCTGCGTGGTCAAGAAGTAGCTGAAGCCGTCCGAGCCAAAGCCGTACACGTAGTTGATGTAGTAGCGCTCGCGGGCCAGCGAGTTGATGGACATGCGGGTGCCGGTGGTGACGGCCACCTCCGAGATGCCGAACATGCGGTCGCGGTCGAGCGAGCGGCTGGCCACGGCCGGCACCTCGTTGCGGTAGGGCGCGCGCGCGCCGCCCGTGTACGTGACCCCCACATAGAGGACGTGTGTCTGTGGCGGCCGCGGCGGCCCCGGCGCGATGAACACCACCGTAGAGGCCGTCTCGTTGTTCGCCACCACGGCCTCCTCAGCCTCCACCTCGACCACGCTGATGTTGTGCAGATTCCGCACCTGACAGCGGCCCTGGAACAGCGAGCCGCACACGATCAGGTTGCCGTGCTTCTTGTCGATGACCAGCGCCTTGTTAACGTTGTCGGTGGGCCGCTTTACCACGTAGACGGGGCACTCGTTGGCCGGCGAGCACTCGGGGTCGTCGTCCTGCGGCCCGGTGCGCTCCGAGACCACCGTCTGCAGGTCGCCGCTCAGCTGAAACAGACGGTTGATGGCGCCCACGTACACGCGGCCCGTGTTCTCATCCACCACGAGGTGGTTCAGTTTCTCGGCCGGCGCCGCCTCACTGAACTCGTGCACTATGTAGCCGGGACGCGCACCCGCCGACACTGACACTGACACTAGCACTGACATGAGCAGCAGCAGCAGCGGGCGCCGCGGCGCGCCACTGTCCGCCGCGCGCGCCGACATTGTCCGCACAGCGCTCCGCCTGTGAACACAGAGGGACACAGGTTAGAGAATGTAGACGGAGACGGGTCAGTAGGGCAGCACAGACATCGTGGAAAGCAGCGTGGGGTGCCATACATGCTATAGATAAGATTGAGATAGAGCTTTGGTATGTACAATAACGAAGTTCAAATGATCCATTGATAGCTGTTCAAGTGTTTAAAGGGAGTCCTAAAATGAATGTACAAAGACGATAAACAGACACAAGCGTAATGTTTACCAGACACTAAAAGATTGTGGCCGATCGATAGTGGTTGTTCTGTGGCTGGTGTGATAGCCATCTACCAAACGGCCAGGTAATAATACCATATGTAACGACACACGGAAAACGGGACGAGTAAACTGATCCAGAACTGCAGCCAGTAGCAAACTCTTCATGTTTGGCTGGATATAAAACGGCTCCTCGGTAGGCGATGCCGAAACCGAGACCCGCAATGACATGCGACAGCAAACCGGTACAGCGATATCGTATCATCACTCGGTGAAACCTGTCCGGGCCTGTCCCCGTCCCGGAGACGTATTGGAGGCCACCAGCAGTTCTACTGGACACAGTCGCCCTGTCAGGTTCAGCTCTGTGGCCGGCGGGCCCCGCTGCCTGTCCCAACACGTCGGCACAGGTATCAACGGACCTATCAACGCCCCCGCCGCCACTGATAGGCAAAGGGCGCCCGAACCGCACCGGAAGTTCAACAGGCCGCCTCCGCTCCACAGTGCACGGCGTGGTGACCCCATGGCGCAGCTCCCCGATTCCATCCCGGCGCCCCGCTCGCAATACCTCTCGTCAGGCTGTCAGTCCGTGCGCGAATTCGGCACCCGGTGGGCGCGAGGTCATTTATACCTCTCAGCCGACAGTGCCCGGTGTAAAGGTCAGAACCAATCTGAACAGAGCCGAAATGGACGGACGGCGCGGCGTGGGATGAGTCGGCGGCGCGCTGCCGACTCTATCAGGAGTCGGGGAGAACTGATAATTCAGTTTGTGCACTGAGGCACACAATGCAAGCGCTTAGTGTGCATGTTAAATTAAAATCGCTAAGTACCTACACCTGGTCCATGATCCTAGAAAATGTTTCGATTCTAGCCGCAAGAAGTTTATGATGCAACATAGTTACACTGACATAAATCTCATACCACCACAACGCTTACAAAGAGACAACTAATAATGTATCCTCACCAGACCCAGTTCAAACACCCAACTCCACAGCTGCGGCCAGACCAACAACCACCCCGACCAGCCGCGTCCACCGTCCAGCGCCCCGTAACCCACCAGCTGCGGCGTCCGCCGGGAGCCAGCAGTCTCTCGTGCCTCACCACGTGCCACTGCGCCGAGCGGGCGCCGCTCCCGGCCGGCACCCCGGTCCCTGGGGAGGAGTGGCCGTGCGCGAGCGACGCACAGCCCGCCAGCTCAACAGGCTGTGACCGGGGGAGGCGTGCGCCGGGGGGAAGCGGGGAGGAGTGGGAGGACCGCCAACCCGTGAGAGCTTCTGCGCGGAGAGTACGGAGTACGGACCCAGGCGCCGCCGACGGGCAGTCTGAAGTAACCTAGCCTGCCCGAGTGACAGACGGGCCGCTGACAAAGTCATTCCAGCGGCGATTCCATGACTCCAGCGGCGACTCCAGTGACTCCAGCGGCGACTCTAGTGACCGGCGAGCCAGACCAGCCACCAGCACGAGCCACGAGCACATAGTGACAAACGGCGCCGAACCCATATAACGCCGACGTACTCATTCGAAACGAGCTCAGCTCCAGTCGATGAGGGAGCAGATGACCCTTTTAAATGGCCCGTTCCATTCCGACCCCAGCCAGCCAGCAGAATTGGATTCCGCCAAAAGCTCACTCCTCAGTATCCATGGCAACGGCATTCCTGTTCAGCTGAGCCGGCCCGTGACGTCATCACGCCCCGTCCAAGGTGGCCGGCAGGTTTGGTTTGTAGAACGGAGAACCGGTGCTGGTCTCCGCTGTTCAGCACGGCACGGTCGTCAAGTTAGATGTAAGTGAATCCTAATCTATAATCTAAGATTCGGAATCAGGTGAGCCCCTACGATTTGGACCAAACTTGGTCAGTGGATAGTACGTAACGTCCTGATTACGATGCACCCAAAATCTAAGCTCGGCCCGCCATATTTACGAAGTTACGGATGTTTGAATTTCAAGGTCATTCGGGAGAGCCCCTACGATTTCCGTCAAAATTTGTGTACGGACACACTAGATGCTCCTCATTACGAATATCACAAAATTTAAGCTTGGCCCGCCATATTTACGAAGTTACGGAGGTTTGAATTTCAAGGTCATTTGGGAGAGCCCCTGCGATTTCCGTCAAAATTGGTATACGGACATATTACATCCTCCTCATTACAAATATCATAAAAAATCAGCTCGGCCCGCCATATTTTTCAAGTTACGGAGTCACAAAGTTACGGAATTTCAAGGTTATTCGGAGAGCCCCTCCGATTTTCGTCAAAATTTGTATCCGGACACATTACATGCTCCTCATTACGAATACCGTAAAAGCTAAGCTCGGCCCGCACTATTTCAAAAGTTACTGACGTTTGAAACTCACTGAAATTCAAACAGCTCTAACTTTTGAAATAGTGCGGGGCGCGGGCCGAGCTTAGCTTTTACGATATTCGTAATGAGGAGCATGTAATGTGTCCGGATACAAATTTTGACGAAAATCGGAGGGGCTCTCCGAATGACTTTGAAATTCCGTAACTTTGTGACTCCGTAACTTGAAAAATATGGCGGGCCGAGCTTAACTTTTATGATATTTGTAATGAGGAGGATATAATATGTCCGTATACCAATTTTGACGGAAATCGCAGGGGCTCACCCAAATGACCTTGAAATTCAAACCTCCGTAACTTCGTAAATATGGCGGGCCGAGCTTAAATTTTGTGATATTCGTAATGAGGAGCATCTAGTGTGTCCGTACACAAATTTTGACGGAAATCGTAGGGGCTCTCCCGAATGACCTTGAAATTCAAACATCCGTAACTTCGTAAATATGGCGGGCCGAGCTTAGATTTTGGGTGCATCGTAATCAGGACGTTACATACTATCCACTGACCAAGTTTGGTCCAAATCGTAGGGGCTCACCTGATTCCGAATCTTAGATTATAGATTAGGATTCACTTTCATCTAACTTGACGACCGTCAGCACGGCGGAGTTCGCAGTAAACACCGATAGCACGTTCCACCGAGAGGCGTTCGCAGTAATTGCCGACAACAGGTCCTCATAGAGAATCTAGGCTAATCCGCCACACTCGGCAAGGTGCAAGTCGAAAAAATACTCTAGAAATAAAAATGCAAAATAAACTAGGCAAGTGCGAAATAACTGGTCATTAATGAGCATGGACTCAACCGACTCAACAACTTTTCAGGTCCTTACGACTTTGCATTTCGCATTTTGTAAACCATTCATAGGATCGTTCACTTTCTGTGCTGCATATTTTTTTTTTTTTATAAATTTAGTCCGAACCTTTTGATAGGAAGGATTCACAAGGACAGAGCCACCGCTAAGCGAAGCTTGTTGCGGTGACCCTGCCCTCTACCCTCCGATCGCGCAATTCCAGTTCTATGGCAGAATTTAGAGTCCAAAGTTTAACGTGCGCACATAGCCGCGCACGGCCGGTCCCCTCACTGACTTCGCCTGGCTACGGCCTGCCACCAACCGCAACCATACCTGTCAGGAGGCCCATAAATGTCAAGCGCCCGTCGCGCTTCGAACCCGGACTGTTGTAACCGGGAACGCGTGCTCTCACCACGCGGAGTCCAACGCTCTTACCAACTGAGCTACGGGACCGGCTAATATTTCGCCTGGCTAATGAATGTTACCGTCCTAAATACTTAACAATGGTATTTTTCAAGTGAAAACTGTAATTTAAACCATCTCCGGATGAATCGTGCAGCATATGTCCGAATGGCTAAACTCTGCAACATGCAACGAATCCACAATGGCAGTTGGCACCCGATTGGATGAAAACATTCACCAGAAGCCTGGACGTCTTACCGGAGTGTCTCCTTGATAGCAGGTGCTGTGCGTGCGGCAGCCACTGTAGTCTCACCTCACCCCACCTCGCCACAATCCGGTAGACACTTTAGCTCCACCTCAACACAGTCCACCAGTCACAGTGAGTTGTGAGAACCTCCTCCAGCCACAATCCAGCAGTCACTGTAGCTCTACCTCACTCCACCTCAACACAGGTCACAGGCCACCAGTCACAGTGAGCTGTGAGAACCTCCTCCAGCCACCTCCGCTCGGAACAGCGGCGCCGGCGCGGGCGGGGGCGGGGGCGGGGGCGGCGAGCACCTGAGCCGCCGCTCATCCGGACCCGAATACGGACAGTCTATCGACGCATCAGCCACCGGCCGGCCCAAACGGGGCTGCCGCCGGCGGCGCAGTCAATACGGATCACAATACCTGCCAACAGCGGGCGGCGGACGACCTTCTGGACGGAGCGGCGCCGCGCCGCCAGCACACTGAGACCGGCCGGTACCGACTACCGAGTCCGTCACCCACGGACGGCCCAGCGGTGACTGAGTGCGGCGGCGGCGTGCGGCCGCCGCGCAGCAGGAAAACGAACGGCGCGCAGGCTCACCGGCCGGACCGGCCGCGATCGAGTGGGTAGCTTCCCACAGCGCGGTCCTAGAGGCAATCCCTTCCCCACAGATCACCACCAAGGCCCGGGCGCCAGCTCTCCGTCTCTCGCAGAGCATGAAAGCCGTTCCTCCACCTTGGCGCACCTCCGACTGGGCCGGGGGCCATCTCTCCATCTCCCCGCGGCCTCAGAGGTGCCTCCCTCCGCCCACGGCCCGCCGGCCGGCCGGATCATCACAAACAGGCCCCCAGCCGCGCGGCCGGAGCCTCTCCGAAGTCCCGAGACCGGTCCGGCGGCAGCGCGGCGGCTCTGGCCGCTACAAAACAGGCTCCTCGGCCGTCGGCCAGTTGTACGCCCGTCAGAGGGGGGGGGGGGGGAGCTGGGGTCGACTGCCGCAGCATCAATGGCGGATGCCCATTGAGACTCTCATGGAACTCAGCTGAGGAGCGATTTGATTTTGGTGAATGACGGAGACGGTAGTGGTTATGCTCAGTTGACTCTTGACATAGATGAACAGTGTCCCAAAATTTGTTGATTTGGGTGGGAAACGACATCCAAATGAAAATCATTTCGCACTCTCACCTCCGATTTTTAGGAGCAATTTTCCACTCCCACTATCACGAAGAAAAGGCATTATCATTTATCATGGATGGTCGTTGTACATTTCATATTTTATCACGCATGTATAAAAATTAATGGTATTGATTTTTTCCACTCTTTTAGACGTGAAGTGGTTTTCCACACTCTTTTCATATCTTGACCAGCAATTTTCCACTCTCATTCCCATTTTTGGAGAGAAATTTCCCCTCTGACACCCAAACCAAAATACAATTTTGGGACACTAAGATGAAGCCACAAAATAACGCTAAAAATAAAAGAGGATCTAACGACAGAACAGTGGTGGACCCTGAGCATAGGCGGCGGAACGGGGGGTGGGGCACCGTGCCCCCCTTTGATTTTAGCATTTTAACATTAGCCCTATGGGCGTTGCGTGGAAAGAATGGGACCAAAAGTCGGCAGTGCCCCCCCCCCCCCTTAATTGAAGGTGTTCCGCCGCCACTGACCCTGAGGGGTCATCCTCCCAAAAAAGCTCGAAAATATGGGTAAGTTATTTTGCACCTCCCACTAAGAACAATTTCCTACAAAGACCCAGGTTCAAACATTTCATTGGATCCTAATACACAAGCCTATTTATTATTTACAGCGACCATCAACCCCTCCTCCCATTCCATTTGATTCTGATCTGATCATCAAGTATCTCGTAACATAACTCCTTTTCATTAACCCCATTCTCCAAAAATGTCATGTGGATCCACTCCACCTTTAGAGAAGTGACCACAAATCACTTTGGTGATTTGTAAATCAAAACATATACTGAGGGAAGAGGTATGGTTGAGTGAGCAGGGGGAGAGAAAACAGAAAATCAAAGAAAGAAGAAAGAAAAGGATAGAAAGACAGTAAGAGAGGAAAAACAGAAATGAATGTAACAGATGAGATAGAGTAAGGGGTGAGAAACAGCATTTGAGGGAGGGAAGACGAAAGAGAGAGAAAGGAAGGAAGAGGGAGATGGAGAGGGAAAGAAAGGGGAAGGGATGGAGGGAGAGGGAGAGGGAGAGGGAGAGGGAGAGGGAGAGAGAGAGAGAGAGAGAGAGAGAGAGAGAGAGAGAGAGAGAGAGAGAGAGAGAGAGAGAGAGAGAGAGAGAGAGAGAGAGAGAGAGAGAGAGAGAGAGAGAGAGAGGAGAGAGAGAGAGAGCAAACAGACATTGACCAATAAGGACCACATCATACACTAAGAAATAGCATGCTTGATGTTCAGTTCATCAGCCATCAGGTAAAGTAAATGTTCTTGGCATTGCTTTATTTATGAAATATAATTAACACCCTTCAAATATGTTCATTTGTACTGATTACTTAATCATTATTGGTTAGTCTATACTTATCTCAATGGTTATTTGAAACAAGATCCATTAATAAGGTCACAAATATGACAAGACTCCTACAAAAAACAACAACATCCTACTTCCTAGTTCTCTGTCCTGCCTATTTGCTATCCAGAAATGTACCTGCAGCAGAGGCAGTTCCTACCTCTCCTTTAGCACCCTCTCCATTAGTGTTCCATTGGCACCCCTGGAGTGGGATCCAGATTTTAATTTGTCAATGCATGCCTGCATGACTGGAGAGTGGAGAATGGGTCTTGCATGCAAAAGATTTGTAAATGCACGCCTGAGGAAGGCTATCAAAGACATGCATGCGTGAAACCTAAAAAACTGCAATATTTAGCAGTTTCTGGTATGGTTGGTTAGTACATAGATAACATGAACAGTAGTTCATGTTATCTATGGTTAGTATTATCAAGCATTGTGCTGCAGGTGGCTCTGTTTTATATGTCTAACAATACATGAAGTTCTCATGTGCTTTTGTTGCTGTAATTCTTCCACACTTCACACACATCAGGTGCAAACATCAAAATGGCATTGTGGGGTGGGTAATGCATATATATAACACTGTTGCTGTGGGAATAGCACATATATCAAACATTTTCATCCATATCCCCATTTTCTTGAGACTTTATCTGCAATTAATCATGGAAAATTATATTCTAACCAATACTATAAAAAAATACAATCAGCCCTGCCCCCCCCCCCCAAAAAAAAAAATATAGGAAAGCTGTGGGTGATTCCAGCCCCAACATTCCTAGTAACTGTCATTCAGGGCAGTGTTTCACAACCATGCTGCCAGCCACTGCCAGCACATTTCGCAAGCTGAAATCATACTTATGGTGGTGTTGGAGATATGGGCTTGTTGAAGTTTTCATGGAAACCCAAATTACCACTTGTGCTGGCAGCGTCGATGAAACACCTCCCTGATGGCCGATGGGTTAGAGTTTCCAGTTTCGCTGGATTACTCGCTGGCATTTCTGATCCTCTCTATCTCATTGTGATTGTAGGGCTGACTGCACACTCATTAATTTTGTTACTGAGAAATGCTGCCAGGCTGGCAGCATCAATACTCTGATGAAACAGCCCTTAGATTTTCAGCATTATACAACTGATGTCAATGGTAAGTAGGTAGGTAGTAGGTACCCACTGACCATGGGTATTGTTTTTTCTAGAAGTAGTATGGCCAGAGCCTGTAGTGTTGGACCTCAACGGTGACTCAGTGGGAGCGTCTTTACTGTTTTGCCTCTGTTGTGGATAGCTGTCGAAGACGTGGTACTCATGCCTTCCTCATGCATGTTCGTCGGCCCACATTTCGCGCTGCGAGTAATCACTGGTTCGCCACGCTTCAACCCCCTCCATATAGGTGCGCGGCCACCGCTGGTGTTGTTTTGTTGGACCTGAGGAGGGGTGTAGTGTTGAGCCTCAAGCTCCACATCACTTAATGGCTGTGCTGCAGCTCCCTGTGTTGACCTGAGGAGGGGTGTAGTGTTGGACCTCAACGGTGACTCAGTGTGTTGCCTCCCTCAGGTGTGTTGGCCTCTCAGCAACGGGCTGTGAATAAACAAGCTAGGGCAGACGACATCTTTACAGAGCCCTACCAATAATTTCAGAATTTTAACATTAGCGGCTATGTTGCTGTATGGTAAGAATGGCTCTGGTTTCCTAAAATAAACCATTGCAGCCCTACCAATAAATTTGTGAAGTGACACCCGTGGTAGGTACTGAGGTGGCCGTTCAGGGGAGGTGGCCTGAGGGCATATATTTGGGTATATGTGTAGATGAAGTACAGTTGGTAAGTTGGTAGGTTCTAGGTTTTAGGTTGGTTGGTTGTAGGTTGGTAGGTTCAATGTTGGTCAGTAGGTAGAGTTAGGGCAGGTTAGATAACGTTTTTTTTATTTTCACCGTGCTTCATCTCCACATTTTATGCTCACATGGTAGAGATAGCAACACAAATTGTGGCAGTTTTTAAAATTATTTCGGATTCTTATAGCTTGTATATTGTAGGAGGCATAGGCAGCAGAACAAGGGGGCACCGGGGCACCGTGCTCCCCTTTGATTCTGGCATTTCAACGTTACCAACATTAGCCCTATGGGCATTGCATGGAAAGAATGGGACCAAAAGTCAGCAGTGCCCCCCCCCCCCCTTAATTGAAGGTGTTCCGTCGCTGGTAGGAGGGTATCAGTTGGCTATTACTTTTGTAATTTGACTTTTTTTTGGTAATTTGGTTGGTGATGACCGCTATTGCGAGGCCCTCGGGAGCCTGCCCCAAACTGTCACTGGTAGGCCATTACTTTTTTAATTTGCATTTTTTGTAATTTTGATTTGGTGACGCCTGCTTCTGCAAGCCCCTGGGGCACCTGCCCCAACTGGCTACTGGTACTAACCATCAAAACAATGCATCATGACGTGGAAAGCAATGAACACCCGAGGGGTGTTCACAGGCGCCACAAACTGCTGAGTGTGGTGTGTGCGGTGTGTGCAGCAGGCATGGGGGTAGGGAATGGGTAGGCGGTTCTGACATCACGGCTGTGTGCGGTGGACAGTCCCAAACAGTTCCAGACAGGACAGTTCGGGGCAGGCCGGTCCCACCGGCCACAGCAGATGCTGTGTGCAGTGACGGAAGGTTTAGGTTTAGGTTTAGGTTTTACTACTGGGCTTGGGTAGACCGGGTCTATTCAGGGCCCACATCCGGATAAGGTCAGAAATAACTCAGTGAGGATTCCTTGTGGCCCAGTGTTGGTCCAACCGGTTTTTAAAGCCGTTCGTAGTCAGTGCCGATATAACTTCCTCTGGCAGAGCATTCCAGGGGGACACCACACGTTGAGAAAAGAACATCATCCTTGCATGGTGGGTCACTCGTTTCTTGGTCAGCTTGAAGCAGTGTCCTCTGGTTCTCCCCTCCTGGCTCTGCTGGAAGAAGTGCTCCGGCTTCAGCTTCGTCTTCCCCATCAATATCTTATAGGTCTTGATAAGGTCTCCTCTCCGTAGGCGCTGTTCTACACTTGTCATACCAAGATTGATGAGTCTCTGCTTGTATGGTACGTTCTTCATGATTTCATCCCCTTCACCATCTTTGTCGCCCTTCTCTGAACTTTCTCCAACGCTTTGAGGATGGCTGACATAGGGATACAGTGGGCGGAGCTTACAGCCTGTGTACAGTCTGACCACACACAGGACCCGTGAACAGCCCTCTGTCCATTGAATATTGATCACATCTTGCCTCTTCTTGCAAGTAGGTACTCACCTGCTCATCAGAACTGTTCCACACCAAAGCAGCCCAAAGCCGACATCCTTTCCTCGCCAACCCAAGGTGGACGTCAAGTCCACAAGTCTGAGTCAGTTTGATTCCTACACGCAGCGCAATTCGCAGCGTATGTCAGTAGATATAACAATAAAAATAAAAAGGAAAAAAGACTAGGTTCATCATTCCAAGTATGTGATTTCAAATCAGACCAGCTCCTGGTATGTGGTGATTTTAATTACAGAGGGATAAATTGGGAAGCAGATTCTGTTGACGGATCTCAGGATAGTGATCAGGCGAGATTCTATGATGCTTGCCAGGATGGTTTCCTGTACCAACATGTGAGGGACTTCACACGGTCAAGGGGCTTGGATGAACCCTCACTCCTAGACTTGATACTAACTAAGCATCCACTTGAAATAGAAGACATTCAGTATCAGGCCCCCATTGGCAAAAGCGATCACTGTGTATTGACATTTAAAATGCTCATCGAGAACGATAGAAGTATGGTTCGACCAAGGAGGAGGAGAGTATTCTTCAGAGGTGACTATGATACTGCCAGACAATTGTTTAGTTCACATCCCTGGAGCCAACAGTTCTCTGGCAAGAACGTTGACGACTCCTGGGCTGTTTTTCTGAGCCATTACAATGAAGTTGTGAGTAAAACAGTCCCTATGCGTCAAGAGGAGAGGTGGAAAAACAAGAAGAAGTGGATGACAAGGGAAGTACTGCATCTAATCGAGAAGAAAGAAACAGCATGGAAAAAGTATAGGAAGAAAAGGACTCAGAAGGCAATGCATTCATACAAACGAGCAAGAAACCTGGTGACAACAGCGGTGCGAAGGGCCAAGTACGAGTTTGAGCACAAACTAGCCAAAGAGGTGCGGGAGAACCCAAGAGCCTTCTACGCCTATGCCAGAAGTCAGACATGTATCAAAGAGGACATCACATATGTTAAGAAGACAAATGGAGAAATGACCAGGACCTTGACCGAGACGTGCGAGGTAATGAACAGAGAATTTGAGAAGATGTTCACCAGGGTGACAGATTGCAGAACTCCCAATGTGACAGGCCCTACTCGTCCCAGTTTGGAGCACATCGAACTGACAGTTGGTGAAGTTGAGGGTGCTTTGGCAGCTCTCAAGACGTCATCTTCTCCTGGTCCGGACGGCGTTCACCCGATGGTCCTTAAAGGAAATAGTTCACTTTCCTGAAATTAGTATTTTGCTATGGATTTATGTTTTTTTATGCTCAAAATGATCAGAAAATAAAACAAAACGTTTTTGTAAAAAGGATTATTTTCTATATTTTAGTATAAGAAGAACTATATTCTATATAAAATAATGTTTGACGCGGAAGCTTATTACGCGTTGACCAATCATATTGCGTAGGACAAACCCATCGGCTGTAAGCAGCATTCTGATTGGCTGACGATGACGTGACTGCATTCCTCAGCAAGGCACGCATTCCTCTGCAAGGCACTCTTTTCGGAACGAAAAATGGAATATCTTCGTCTAGGGTGATCGTTGGGCCGTAAAAGCTTCTGATTTGTGCTAGTCTCAGCGCAAGCAACAAAACTGCTATTCCAGTTCCAAACCCCATGTTAAAAGTGAACTATTTCCTTTAAGGAATGTGCCAGAGTTCTTTGTGAACCCCTACATCTGCTGTTCATGAAGTCGCTCAGTTCTGGGGTGGTCCCGGAAGACTGGAGGAGGGCAAACATTACCCCGATATTCAAAAAAGGAAGCAAGACAGATCCCACAAACTATCGTCCCATCAGTTTAACTTCAGTGGTTTGCAAACTACTGGAGAGACTGATACAGAAAAGGATAATCGAGCACCTGGAACTGAACAACTTTATCTCTAGTCACCAACACGGATTCAGACGTGGAATGTCCTGTCTTACCCAGCTTCCGGAATATTTTGCAGATGTAGAGGATATCTTGGACGAAGGGCACTGTGCTGACGTCATCTACCTAGACTGTAAGAAGGCGTTCGATACGGTCCCGCATGCTCACTTGTTGGTGAAGGTGGAAGGTGCAGGAATAGTGGGAGGAGTAAAGAGGTGGATAGCCAATTTCCTAGAGAATCGTGAGCAGAGAGTTGTGATACACGACTCCTACTCGACCTGGAGAAGAGTTTGGAGCGGCGTTCCGCAAGGAAGTGTCCTCGGGCCCACGCTATTCCTAATTTATATTAACGACATTCTTGATGGTCTTAACTCTAAAGGGAAACTATTTGCAGATGATGCCAAGATCTACAGCAGAATCAGGAACCAGGATGATAGCAAACTCGTGCAGGAGGATCTGAACACAATCAACGACTGGAGCAACAAATGGCTACTGAAATTCAATGAGAACAAATGTAAAGTGATGCATGTCGGCAACAAGAATCCGTCCAGCCCATATACACTAGGGGACAGTGCCCTCCAGATAACCTGCAGGGAGAAGGATCTGGGTGTCCTGGTGCGGAACGACATGAAGGTGGCAGACCAGGTGGCAGCAGCAGCCACTGCAGCGAACTCGATGCTTGGACGAATTCGCAGGGCATTCACCTGTCTCGATAAGGATACCCTTCCAGCACTGTACAAGGCCCTGGTCCGACCCAAGCTGGAATTTGCTGTGCAAGCCTGGTCCCCCCAACTAAGGAAGGACATCAACAAGCTCGAAAGAGTACAGAGGAGAGCCACAAAGATGATACCTGACTTGTCTCACCTACCATACGAGGAAAGACTAAGAAAACTGGATCTGACGACATTGGAGGAGAGGAGAGCAAGAGGCGATATGATACAAGTGTTCAAAATCCTCAAAGGCTTCGACAAAGTAGATGAGCATCTTCTCGTACTCGACCCTGGAGTCAACGATCCAAGAACGCGAGGACACAAACTCAAGCTGAAGAAATTGCGTCATCGTACCAAGAAAAGGCTGATGTTCTTCTCTGCGCGAGTCACGAGCACTTGGAACTCCCTACCGAACAGCGTGATACAAAGCAAGACGATATCAACATTCAAGACACGCTATGACCAACACATGACTGAGAGGAGGCAGCATCCTAACGAGCCATCCTAGCTCTCTTGCCTCTTCCTATACTTCTAGGTGAGCACTTCTAGGTGAGCACTAGGTGCTAACACCCCTCCACAACCAATCGACACACCAACGACACACGACTCACGCGCACGAACGCAGAGCACCAACGGCACGCGTATTTACAAATTGCAACCGATCTCCGCCGTGGGGTAAGGTGGGCAGGGGTTTTCACACTACGGCTGCGGTTGAACTACCGTCTGTGGTAGAAACTTCAGGACGATGGCGCGTTTCATACGAAATGTGGCGCAATGTTTGTTTGCTTCCGAACTTGTACTGTTATTGCTGTGAATTCTTGAAGTGGGAGTGTTCCAATAACAATTTGTGGATTATTTGAGTTTCTTTATATAAACATAGAATAGTATTATGAAACATTGTGTGGAAACTGCAAATACTGATATGATCAATTACTTAGTTTGGGAATTGATACACATTTTATAGATTTGTCTGGCAAATGGTGTAACAAACCTCAAGCCTATCATGATCTGAAGCTGTTGTAACAAATCAAAATTGCTTTGATGTTACGTAGTACCTTGTTGGAAAGACTGGAGCATGGTTCAAGATGATGTGTAAAAATTCAAGATTTGTGGGAAAGCTTGTGACTGAAGAATGAAAACAGTTCAATATGATGGCTCAATCAAACATGGAAATGGACAACAAAAGTAGAGTTTCAACATTCCAGCATGTGAGAATAACTTCAGAAATTCATAATTCTTGTAGTATTGCATTCTTCTTATGTACAGTTATAGGTTTTGCTAGGGTATTTAAAATTCATTGTGTCAGTTGAGATATAGATGGATTGCGGACAAATTTTAGAATCATTGCATGGTAGCTAGGTATAAGGTACTTGTTCGGTAAAAAGGTATGTGATGAATGCCATGAGAAGGTTTTTTATGATTTAATATATGGTCGTTGTTGTACCTACAAAAATGCAAGCTTACTAGCAACTAGTTTCTGAATCAAATCGAAAGTGTTTGCCATGAATGTTAATATGTACCTGCAAAGTATGTTAATAAATTTGTGTGATGTTGACCAGAGAGCTTTATCATCTGGGCATTTATGTCGCTTCTTACATTAGGTGTTAAGCATAGTAATTACGGATGAACTTTGTGCCAATATCTTCAATGCACAATGTATGTAGCATGTCTACAACCCTCACTGATCCTGCTATAGCTATAGGCATTTGGCACCAGCAAGACCAAGGGCATGAACTTCACAGTTGCTCAACCTTTTGTCATGTAACACCAGTCACTTTTTTATAGTGCACATAGCAGTGCACACAACAATGTGCAGAGGGCCTACACAAAAACAGCATGATTAGTGTGCACTATGCACAGGATTGTACCCTGATAATTTGAATATTTTGATCACTCAACAGTCAACAGTCAGGAGATAACTATTAAATATCACATTTATTATACATCACTTGTCAAACAAGAGCATGATGATTGATGACACACATTTTGACAAGCAATCATGGTAGTATTCCAATAAGTTGGACAGCCATCTCCCTGGGCGTCATTTTTTTCCAGGAAGGTACCTCTGCAGGTGTTGTGGTAGGCCTAGGTTGAATTGGGCCAAGTTAGGCGAAGTAAGGTGGTTATGACCCGGTCAGACCGTAAGGCCTGGTCAGGTTGATTTTAATCTTTCATTCTAATTTGACATAGATACCTATTACCTATGTTTTTGCTCCAGCCTGAATTTCATTAGATAATGAGTTAATTTTGCTTTGTCCTTATCTGTCTTGTTTTGTGTTTTTGTCCCTTATATTTTGCCCCATAGGCAAGGGTGGAGCTTTTCCAGGGAAGGTGGTCCGTGGTGGAGCATGATTGGAGGCGCTCCACCAGACGGCATAGGAGGGCACGGTTTCTGAACGCGCACTGATGCCTGATTCAAGCCACGCTGTCTTCATGCGTGGCGGCGCGCTACTTAACCCTCGCCCGCACATGGGGGGGGGGGGGTGGTTGCCACCCCCCCCCCCAGGCAGTCTTTCTGCTCTGCACTCAACATTTTTAGAGCTAGAAGGCTGATTTTTCGTATAGCTGCTCGTCTATCCTTTCTTGATGTCCACTGAAAATTTCAAGTTTCTGTGATTTTTTGTTTCGGAGATATGACCTTGTTTTTCAGGTCATGTCATGACCCAAAGGGGCAATTCTCAACATCTTGCGTTTGCCATGGGCCTTGTGAGCTTTTGACACCCTGATTTCGGCCTTTTTTGCCAGTCTTACCTCCCACCTATCATGGAACATGTTGTTCGACGATGTACAGGGGTCAAGGTCAGGGTTAAGGTCAACCTAGGTCATCTAAGATAATTGCGTTTTAGGCAAGCTGAATTTACTTTTTGTGAAGTTTTTTGACTGCATTTTTGGTAAAACCTCAGATCATGATTTCATGTGATATGGACCCAAAAACAATCGGTGCACACATCAGTATACACACAGACACACACACACATACAAACACATATAATTGACCTTGACCTAACTTGACCTGAAATGACCTCAGCAGCAAAATTCTGGTCGGATAGTGTGACAAAGAGGTTCTAGCTGGCTTGGCACCAGAAAACAGCATCGTCATCGGTATTTGATAAGCAGCGCACTTGATATCCAACGGTGACCCAAAACAGCAACATTTTTTAGTTTGACCTGACCTGGAAGGTCAATGACTGACCTGAGAAGGTAAAACTGGGTATCATTGGATTTGTCTCTTCCCAAAGAATCTTTTTGGTCTTTACTGCTAAGCTCTATCTCCAACAGGAACGAAATGGCGCGGGGGGGTGGCAACCACCCCCCCCCCCCCATGTGCGTTCTAGGATGGGAAAATGGCATGTGCGGGCGAGGGTTAAAAGTCCCTAAAAGAACGGGAAGTGATGCCGATAGAACCTTCAATCATTCTGGGCTAACGCTTATTACTTGGAAAAAGTCGCGATCCCATTTCAATCGAAAACCTGTGGGCTCTTGTTTAGCAGGAGGTAATGAAGAGCCACCCGCCACTGCTCAACCGCAGGCACAGGTTTAGACGGCGTTGGTCCGCATCAAAGCCAGTGTGCTGGAAAATCCATTGGCTGAAATGCTCCAGAACATTCGCCACTGTGTGGGTTCCTCACTTCCTCTCTGACTGTCCCTTGAAACCACTCCAAAGATATGCAGAAACCAACGAGGTGAGTGAACGAGGTGAGTAAAGTGTGTTTTTTATGAAAGGTGGCTACAAGCTCAGTTAAAAGAAAAAGTACCAGATTGTTTTGCTTTTACAGCGGGAAGAAAGGTGTCCGGATAATTTCGTTACACCCCCTGTGATGTTCAAATGGTTGCTAAATTCGAAATCAGCTCCAAAAACTAGCCTAGAAACATGTAAAACTCGAAAAAGTGAACCGAGGTCATCAAAGGTCATTGAGCTGACCTGACCTTCAGGTGACCTTGACACCCACCCTAATGCATGGGACCAGCATCATATCACATGTTTCAAGGCTTGAAACCACGTGAAGACTGCAACCGCGCGGCTAATGCGAGCTGACATACGCCGAATCGCCATAACCGAGTATTCGGGCCAAACATGGTCTCGAGAAATAGGTCACAGGTCAAAGGTCATTTGGGTCAGGGCCATGAAATTTTCAGGGTAGGTGTAAAATTGATAAACTCGGGGGTATTGAAAGTTTCGTCGCGATCGGACGGTTTTTACGCGAGTTACTCACGAAAAACCGTTAAAGCGCACCCAAATAGGCAGAAATATGCACATGCGATATCCTATACTGCGAAAAAAGGTGCATCATTTTTGAACGTCGCGGACAAATTGTAATTACCCTAAGCTCAGGCAGATGTATGGTAGAAAATCCACCAAGTGAAATACACTACGGCGGAAAAAAATACCCTACGGCGGAGCTCGGTTGCAATTTGTAAATACGCCAACGGCACCAACGCTCTTGCCAAGCCCTATGTAAACCAGGGGGTACCAAGTGACAGTTGGTAGCATTAGGCCAAATGGGCGCTCAAAAACTACTACCCCATAGGGTTATCATGTTAAATCGACCTTTTTCAAGCGAGCCTCACACGTAACCCAAAAGAGAAAGTGCCAATTTAATTGTAGGAAAAGGTAGCCTCAGGCTTTCCCTACAACATTTTTTCTAGCGTTTTTCGATGCAGAGGCCAAAACCAGGGGGGCGACACGGCTATTCGCGCAATGTATTCAGTTTTGGGCCGCGCGGGGCCTCGGGATGACGCGGCTGGAGGCAACTGCTCAGCGCGCTAGGATACTTCTGGCGGGGCCGGGCGCTGAAGGGTGTGCAATGCATGGGTTATGGGCGGGCAGACAGAGATGAGGTATTGAGTTTTAATTGACATCAGCAATCGGGTGGGGAAGGAGAACGTTTCTAATCGAGCTTGGGCCGGGAAAGCCGAAAATGTCACGATCGGCTCAGAGCTGCGTCAGGGCCGGGTGCCGCACCATTGTGTAGTATATTTAGGCGGGCAGACAGAGATGAGTTATTGGATTTAAATTCACCTTACCATCGGTTTCTGGTGGGGTTTGAAGACGTTTTTAGTTAAGCTCGGGGTGTGGCAACCCACTGGCGGATCCAGGGGAAGGCATTTGGGGATGTCTTCCCCCACAACCGGGGCAGCGCCCGAAATCACTTTTCGAGAATAAAAGAAAACTTCACAACTTTTCTTAGGAAATGTTGGTTAATCACACTGCACAGCAGTACGCAAGAAATCGAAATCCGAATTTTTAAATTAATTCGGGGAAAGCTTTTTGGGGTAAGCCTCCGCAGTGTCCAAGAACGCTTCCTGGATCCGCCAGTTATGAATAAGTCACGGTCGATACCGAGCTTCGGCGGGACCAGGCGCTGTATTACGTTGTACCTACAAGGAAGAGGTGGACAGACACCTAGCCCCACATCCTACTGCTATACCCGTGCTTCTGTGGGTGAAGCACTGAAGCATCACGGAATCCCACAGGACCTGCGAGTCGACGAGGTGGCCGCTTTGGCCGCCGGGTACTGCAGCTCCCTGGAGTTGCCTGGGACCGATGGTAAAACAACAGCTCCGGCGGTGCCCCTATGGGCCGTAGTAATTGGTGAATTCCCGTAATGTAGAGATCATATCCTCAATAATCTCCATTAAGATTTTATATTCCTAAACAATATGACAGACCAATTATGCTTGCCTACGTTCAGGCATTACCTTTGATGGTTATACGCCCATGAGTACAACATGTGTTCGGACGGGGTGATCTTTCTACAATGTGCGCACCATCCATGAGCCTAGGATGCATCGAGGTTTAAAAGAATGCAGTCTGTAGATGAATCAACATAACAATGGTGGTATGCAACCACATTAAAATATCTCCCCCGCTCCCGCAGCGTTCCAACGCCCCTCCGTTATGCATTCGCGTTATATGTCCGCCGAGCCGGCTTGCCTCCAATGACGTCATCGGCCGGCCGGCGGCGTTCAAGGTCAAACGGCTGGTGTCCTTACCTGGAGTTCATGATTTCCAGATCATGATTTCATGTAATATGGACACAAAAACAATCGGTGCACACATCAGTATACACACAGACACACACAGACATACAAACACATATAATTGACCTTGACCTAACTTGACCTGAAATGACCTCAGCAGCAAAAATCTGGTTGGGTAGTGTGACAAAGAGGTTCTAGCTGGCTTGGCACCAGAAAACAGCATCGTCATCGGTATTTGATAAGCAGCGCACTTGATATCCAACGGTGACCCAAACCAGCAACATTTTTTAGTTTGACCTGACCTGGAAGGTCAATGACTGACCTGAGAAGGTAAAACTGGGTATCATTGGATTTGTCTCTTCCCAAAGAATCTTTTTGGTCTTTACCGCTAAGCTCTATCTCCATCAGGAACGAAATGGCGCGGGGGGTGGCAACCCCCCCCCCCCCCCATGTGCGTTCTAGGATGGGAAAATGGCATGTGCGGGCGAGGGTTAAATGAAATTTCAAACGGTAATGGAAAAAATAACAATTTTTGGTCTCATTCTTACCATGCAACGCCCATAGGGCTAATGTTAAAATGCCAAAATCAAAGGGGGGCACGGTACCGCGGTGCCCCCCTCGTTCCGCCGCCTATGCTTTCCGTGGGTTACGGAACAGTGGCGACGGGCCGGAAATCCCATCATGGCTCATTCAAACGACTGCAAAGCGAACTACACATATAACTGTAGGTATAACTGGCAACCATAGAACTGTAGAACCAATAGAACTGTATAATTGGCAACCATCAGTTGGAGCTGACGTCAGTTGTGAGGGGCTGAAACGCGGGATGGCCACTTTGCCCCGGTGGCCCCACATACCTACTGCACCTGATCTTGGTTATTTACGCGTTCGGACTTGTGCGTGATCAATCTCAGTCAGTTCTTCGCCAACTGGGCTCCAATGCTAGAAGAAGCGGGCCTAACAGCATAAGGAAACAAATTGCCCTAAGAAGCGTCTTTTGTAATGCTTTTGACTGCCGTTTACCCTTTTTTCTACGACCAGATCCGTTCAGCGACTCCCTAGCCCTTGCAAGCTTCTAGCTCTCCTGACAATGTTTCGCATGCAGTGTTGACACCTAAATTATGGCACTCCGCGTGCGGCGTTGGGCAGTTGGCGGTCGGCTGTGACGGCCCATTTTCCGCTCGCCGATCTGTAGAAGCGCGTGGCGTCCTCCCGCAGGCGGCCAGCCGGCGTGGTCCCACCGCGTGGCCCGCGGACGTGGCAATCGCTGATGGGAACGGCCGCAGTCGGCGGAGCTATCGACGCCCGTCTGCCGCTGTTGCCACCTCAGACCACTGAGCGGGCGACAGGCGTGATGGCGGGTTCACTGCGCTGGCTGACCGTCCTGGCCCTCCTGGGGGCCGTGTGGGCCACCTGTCCGAATGTGAACTGGCTGGTCATCGACAGCAAGTGCTACTTGCCGCTGTCGGTGCCGCCCTTCTCTGAGGCCATGGAGCAGGACGCACGCGCCATGTGCAAGCACATTCATCCGACCTCGATGCTGCCCGAGATTTACGATAGTGATGATCTACTGGTGGTGAGTGGTGGACTGTGTAGTGAAACACGGAACGGTGAACTATATCCTACTTACCTATTTACCGATTGTCTTCAGACATCTGGGAGTGCAAGCAAATCAAAAGAAATTAGACCATGGATGCGTTTCGATTACTCAATCGTCATCAGCTATCAGCATGATACAAGTACCTAAAACAGAACAAGATATTACAAGATAAAAGTTATAATTAGGCTTATGTTTGATAATGTTGGCAAGCGCTTTTTTGAGGCTCATTGTAAATAAAATGATAATAAGAAACCGTAGCCTCATAATAAGGTTCAATATATTGCCGAATATAATTATAACAAAGTGAGACGACAGTTTCGGGCGTAGCCCATTATCAAGTATCATTATGACCTGATAATGTGGCTAATAACCTTATTATGAGGCTACGGTTTCTTATTATCATTTTATAAAAGTTATAAGTTATAACTTGCTTTTTTGTACCTAAAACAGAACAAGATATTACAAGATATAATTTATAAGTTATAACTTGCTTTCTTTGTACCTACTTGTGTCATGATGTTGACGACTGAATAATCGAAACGCGTCTAATGCTTTATTTATTTCGTGTTTACTATGCATTTCAGACCCCATGAGACCCTGTTTTTCGGCGATAATTTATTTAATATTTGTCCAATTTGCTTCAAATTTTCACAATGCACATTTCAGCTCAAGCGCCAATTTTTGTCAATATGGTCTCTTAACAAAATATCAAATTTTAGGGTACTTGTCGTTGCCTCGTAATGTTAAAATCGGCTCCGTAAATCCGTCAGTGGAGTAGAGGCTATCCGTGCGTAGGCGTGACGTCACAAACACGTGACCATTAAGCTCCGCCCTCCCGGCGGACGGGGCGGTGACCTTGGCCGGTCAGTCGGCTGCGTGGAGCGGGCGGGGCAGTAGCTGTCGCACCGGGGCGGCCCGCATGGAACGTAGCTGCCGTGCAGTTGTCGTTGCAGCCGTAACTTCATCGAATGAGCTAAATAGCGCGCATAAGTAACGCACTAGCTGAAACCCTCGACTTTGTATTTATCACAAATGTAAGTACACCTTGTTCAGTCACAACAAAATATCTATTTCCACACAAGATTCGGGGCTTGTGAAAAAAACGCACATAAAAGACGCTGTTGATTTCAAATGATTGCGTAAAATTATGTATCGCGTCAGACTACGTCCAAATTGCAAAATAGCATCACCATTAATAGGATGAAATTTATGTGTTTGATATATGAAATTTGATTAGGAATGTATGCCGGCGTGATCGATTTATATCATCCCGGTGCAACATAAGCAATGCATTGAACACCTTCAGGAGTAATCCATTTTGTCATCGACTTAGGTTGAGGAGGTCGCCGGACTAAGTTTACCCCCAGATCCTATGTGTTGAAATGCAAACATGGAAAGTAAAAGCCTAGAGATAGTTACCTCACCATTGAGGACATAACTACATTACCTACTGTTACATAAGTTTTACAAAAAGATACGTGTTTCTTGATGATTGTTCTCGTGTAGTGCACAACGTCCGTCTGCCACATTCCTATTTCTTTTTGTGCACGTCTTAACAATATAACACACACATGACACCGCGATAAAGGCCATTTCCACCATACGACACATTCGCTTCTGCCCCACCCGGCGCCCCGCACCGCTTCACGAATCACGAATACGGTCGTCTCACTGGAGCGATGCCCCAGGCAATCGGCCGTGCCCGAGACTCTTCATCCTACCTTGTTGCTTTCTGCGCCTTCCTCAGAAACATTTATTGACGCTGCCAAATATATCAATATTTTTGGGTCATACAGAGGCTTACGCATGATCTTATAGGTAATCGGGTAGTGACCTGACCCAACCTGACGATGAGATAGGTGCAACTCCGGCTTAAATAAATGTTCAGAGCAGGGATGCGGAGCCGTGGAAATTTCAGACGGCTCCGGCTCCGGCTCCGGCTCCGGAGAAAAAAATCGGCTCCGGCTCCGGCTCCGGCTCCGGGTGAAATGTCATGGCGGCTCCGGCTCCGGCTCCGGCTCCGAGTAAAATGATCCGGCTCCGGCGGCTCCGGCTCCGGCGGCTCCGGCTCCGGCTTCTACTCAGTACATCCCCTATGCGATCAATTAAATACGGGTGGAAGAAAAAAGGCGATGGGATTGGTACACGTTGCTTCTATATTTGTATAACAAGGCTATTTTGAATACCACATTGTTTTACGCCTTGTACTGTCAAACCGAACTAGGTAAATAACTGTTTCCTCTTAACCCGCGCCCTGATGGGGGGGGGGGCATTTTGGCCCCCCTGTGGTTTTTCTTAAATGCGAGAAAACCAAATTTTGGGTACCTTACCGAACATCACTTTGACACCTTCACACAAAATTTCAAGTCACGGGTCACCTCAGGTCAGGAGTTATTGAGGTCAAACTGAGGTCATGTTCGAGTAAAAATGAGCAAAAAAACATGACATCTTGAAACGCTCACCAATTCTACAGTTAACCCGCGCCCCACTGGGGGGGGGGGCTATTTATAGCCCCCCCTCCCGTTTTTCTGCAATAACTTCCAAACCGCTTGACGAATCGACGCCAAACTTTCAGTACCTTCGGCTGCATCAATTTGACACCTTGTGTCAAAATTTGAACTTCGTAGCTACCATAGGTCGGCCGGAAATGACGTCAGAGTGACGTCATGTTTGTCCGATTTCGACGCAAAACATTGAACCACGGCAATCGCTCCCAAGAGCTCAGTTTTTAAGCTAGATCCAATTTCTTTGCATGAAAGGACTCAGAATTGACCGCGCTATCAAACTGCTATCTCGGATTTTCAAAATTTTGAAAATTTTGAAAATTTTATATAATAATATTCAAAATTTATATTTTTATATTTTTTTTCAAAAAGTTTTTGACTTTTCGAAAAAACCGGAATATATGTGACAGAACGCATGATTATGACTAACTCTAGCAAGTTTTAGCTAAATAGCTTCAAAAATGGCCAAGTTATACGCATTATTGCAAAAAATTCACAATTATTAATTTTTCAAATCAATTTTTCAGTACGTATTTGGCATCGTACACCAATATAAATGGCACCATCGTGTTCCTGAGCTCAAACTGCATCCAATAGACACCTTTTTTGTTGACAAATTTCAACTTCAAAATTTGACCTTTTTTGACCTGAAAGTGACCTGACCTAAGCTAATTTCGACTCAAAATGACCTTGAATGGCACAGACGACATCAAATTCGAAATCTATGGCCTAAATGGACCATAAAGCATGTGTCACGTGACCGACGCATGATATAATATTTTCGTGACCTGTGATGACCTGACCCTGACCTGAAAATCAAAGTACAAGTTTGGTACCCTCAAGGTATCTAGAGCATCTGTTCACGAGTGTGGAAACCAAAAATGAGCCTGATCTGACTTGTAAGATGGCGGCCAGAGCCCAAAATGTGAACAAGCCAAAGTGCTAATAATTTTTACTTTGACCTGACCTGTGACGTCATCGGTGACCTCGAGGTCAATGAAATTAGGTTTCGCTCGACAGTTTTTCCGGGGCTATCAGACGCCGTTTGAATTTTGACGATCGGCCCAGTAGTTTCGGAGTTAGGAGGGGGGGCTATGAATAGCCCCCCCCCCCCAGTAGGGCGTGTTATACACAGACCCCAGTGGGGCGCGGGTTAACAAGCAATTTTAAAGTTCTCTATGTGGTTGTGTGGAGAAGAGACGGCGCTACAAAACTGCTGTCTCAGATTTTCGAAATTTTATGGGATTTTGACCCCCAAAAATAAAAAAATTTTTTTTTAGAAAAACTCAAAAAATTTCCAAAAAAAAATTTCGAATGTCGAAAAAACGGAATATATGTGATAGTCCCTGCGCTCTTCGATATACATACGTCACATAAAACTGCCAAAATAGCCGATTTTTTCGGTAACAGTTTTTCTGCAATAACCTTTGACCCAAGCCTTGTACGAGCTTACTTTTACCGGCATCGTGTTCCTCTCGTCAAGACGCATCGAATGAACTATAACTTGACCTTGAAAGGTCAACTTGAAAATTTGACCTCAGGTTAAGGTCATGACCTGACCGGAAAGGGTCATGTTGCATATCAGTCGATCCGTATCGTCGAGCTGAACACATCTAAGGCGTTTTCATCGCTCTAGCATGCCTCTATCAAAAGTTATTTGCGAAAAACTGTTAGATACCATTCGTGACCTAAGATGACCTCAGGGCATAAACAGGGGTCACGGACACCATTTTCATGTTCAGTGTGTCTAAACCACTTGTAATTCAGTGTTTGGGAGTGTTTATAATGTCTTTCGTCCAAAGGAGGCGCATTTCAATTTTCTCCCATTGACTTATAATGGGGAGGTCGCAAAATTGACCTGACCTTAGGTCATCGATATCAAAATTCTGAGATATACATTTTGTACATGCTATTGCTCTCAGCAATCGCTGAAAGTTTTAAAGCGATCGGTCACTCGGTGTAGCTATGACAGACATTGAAACTTTTTATGAGGTGAGGTCACTTCAAGTGACCTGGTGACCTGACCTTGAATGACCTTGGTCTGACATTTTCACAACATGTGTAGGATTGATGTATGATAAGGTGTACCAAAAACGGCGGCGCTCCGCGCCGCCGTTTTTGAGATATTCGCGAAAAACCGCAAGGGGGGGTGTTCAAACACCCCCCAGCAGGGCGCGGGTTAAACTAGGTACCTATCTACAAATATCTAGGCCGTTCCACACAATGAAGCTTGCTGTCAGCGGAAATTCATGAATCGATGTTTCACTCATGTATCGATGGAAAACGATTGATAGATAGACGTGAGTGAGGCCGTGAAGGAATATTGTACCGTAAGATATCTACTTGTAATATTATCGGAAGGTGGCACTAGTGTCGAGCGCCTGCAGTTAGGCTGTCCCGCACAACACACTCGGCGCTACGGAATACAGCCGAATGGTCATTGCTCATAGGCGACGGAACGTGGGGGCACCGGGGAACCGTGCCCTCTCTCCTGATTCTTAAAAGGGGGCACCAAAAGCAAGTGTCCCCTTAAATATTGCACAATAACAGAATAATATAGTAACAGTCAGTCAGCTCAAAGATGCATGGACAGGGATCAGAGGGCCATGAAGAAGGGTCACTAGATATTTAGTTCGTCCATTTGAAGAAAGAGGGGGCACTCGTAAGTGCCCCTCTTCCTTTTTTAAGAAAGGAGCGCCCTGCACTGAAGAAAGAGAGGGCACTCTGACTCATAGCCGGTGTCCCCTTTATAATCTTTTAGTGGAAGCTAAAATAAAGGCAAGGATATTACTAATATTGTGAGCATCCCACCTTATGGATTTTTACGGGTCACACCAGCGTGGAATTTTCCCGACATTCTGAGCATATGGCGATAGCTCGTCCTTTGAAGCATAAGCGTAACGGAGGGGGCGGGGGGCACCGGAGCACCTGTCCGTGTTCCTTGATATATCAAGGTAGGCAAGGGCCGGCAAGGCAACAAGAGCGAAGTGCCCCCCCCCCCCCCCGCTGAGTCTTATAAAAACCAGTCAGATTTTTGGTCAAAGATGTAATGATGTAGCCGAACAAACTATCCACAAATTCTTTACCATCACCAGCCTTCATTAGGAGAGCAAGGTGCCCGGATCTCCTACCCCAAACACGAATCCTATCCCGAAAAGGAACCACCCGCAGTTTGTTTTCAATAGAAAAACACAATTTTAAAGAATAGTGTTTGTCTAATGAAGAGACAACCTTCGGGTATGTACATATGAACTTCTGGGCCCAGTGCGCACCTCTAAGCGCATGGCCAATTCTGACCGGCCTTACCGACATCCCCTGACCCATCTGACACCGGTGCCGCTGCTCTGCCTACAGGTTGAGGAGCTGAGCCAAGGTCTGAGCACGTGGCTGGGTCTGTACCGCTCGGACTCGTACGGCACCTGGCGCTGGAGGTCGTCGTCCAGCAGTCTCAGCTACACCCACTGGGCCGAGGGGCAGCCCAACAACACCCACTCGTGCGCCGTGCAGCTCAAGAACGGCTACTGGGAGACGGCTAGCTGCAACACCACCTCCGTCAAACACCACGTCATCTGCTACGTCAACTCCGGCTACTAGCCGAATGGTGTCGTGGCACCCACAGGACATCGGCCAGTGGTCACATCAGCTAATCGTTTGAAATGAATGTAAATGTTCATTGTTCATGGAATTTTCATCTAAAGGCGTCTTATCTTTCCAAACGCGGTAACAAAGGGAATCGAGGATTGGTCGGTGTGATGCCCAACCCATCCCTTTGTCAACCCAGAGCCCATGTCCGATTCGCTCGACGGCACTCGTTCAGTGTTCTGTGGGTTCTGTTCAGTTGACAATGTATACGTCTGTGCCGGTGATGATTTCAACTCAGTAACATCGTTTCGATCGGAATCCGAGCTCTGCAGATAATCCATCGGCATCCTCCTCACCGAAATCACCAAAAGACGAGACAGTCGGTACACATGATGGTATTTCTCTCATTCTCCCTCCCTCCCCACTCGACTCCTGATATTGCAGAGTTCACCGACGCCGCGACGCCACCGTCCGCGGCCTGAACACACAGAAAGGCCACTGGTGGCCCGCGTCAGCCGAAACGCGGCGGTGAGTTGACAGTGGACACGGGGCGGACAGGAGACAGGGCCGGTTGGCCGGCGAGGTTCGGGATAGGCGGCGGTGGACGCTGACAGGGTACAGAGGGCTGCGACAGCGCACAGGAGGTTCTCACAGAGCACAGGGAGCTGTGACAGCGAGCACAAGGAGCTGTGACAGAGCACAGGGGCTGTCACAGAGCACATAAGCTGTGATAGGGAGCACAGGATGCTCTCACAGAGCACAGGGAGCTGTGACAGAGCACAGGGGCTGTGATAGGGAGCACACCGGACACGGAGAACACCAGAGGACAGACAGCGGCGGAGCAGAGGCACGGGCGGCGCACGAGACGACAGCGCGGAGACAGGGTGAACGGTGCAGACGGAGGGTGCGACAGTCGGCAGGTGGCGCTGGGCGTCACACGATCGCAGCGCCGCCTACCGGGCCACCACGGCATTAACGAGTCAGTCTGCAGCGCAGGCTGACACCGCACCGGCGCGACAGGCAGCGAAAACTACTGGGAAGACTATGCTCAACGACTGGGGAGCTGGCGGCACGGCGAGACACATACGGCACCGGCGCCCAGACAGCAGAGGTCGCAGGCTCACAACGGACGCTCTGAGCCGCAGAACAAGGGTGGGGCCGACGGCAGCGCCGCGCTGCGGCCGCGGGGCGAACCACGCCGCGCAGCTCCGGAATGTAGGCGACTTGAGCCGCGGGCGCAGCGCCGCAGCCCCACTACTCTCTCTCCGCCTCCTTCACTCTGTACACACGACATCTCCCCTCACTGCCGAACGGGGCAGTCCGGCTGTCGTTAATGGCACGAAGTTTACAGGTACCAATAGCAAACGCTTAAGGCTATTAAAATATTTCGTCTGAAATCTATGCAACAATGCAAACGCGATTCACACCAACTTTGATGACACATAGAAAACGTTAAATGACCACAGTCGCTTCGGCACGCGCACACGAGCATTCTACACACCCGTCGTCCCAAACTGAGCCTCTCTACATCAATACGACACATCTTAACGACAATCCAACCAAACGGGCGACGAGTCAGTGCCACCTACTGGCGACGAACGCAACCATACGTTCCGAATCTCAACACGCGCCGGCGAGGCAGCAGCTCCTCCTCTCGGGCACCTGTTCATAATTTACAACTCTCCCCGCCCTCGGACTCACTCCTGAAAACAGCGGCTCGCGTCCTGACCACGGCTCGCTTTCCGCGGAGACGCGCGTCACCGTCGGCAGCTACACCATGTTGATGTCGCCGCCGCTGAGCGTATCATCGAGCGCCAGCAGCGCCGCCAGCATCGGATCGTGCTCGTCGACACCGGGGCACAGCTCGGGCGCCAGCGTCAGCGAGCCGTTGTACGAGGAGAACATGGGGTCGAGCACGTCGTCGCCCTCCATGAGGCTGTCGAACATGGAGGTGTCCCCGAACAGATCGTCGGCACCGGGTGCCATGTCCAGCGGCTCCTGACTCGGCGGCTCCTGAGGGGGAACAGGGGCACGTTAGGGTGTGGTTGTGTAGGAGGGACGGAGGGAGAGGGAGAGAGAGAGAGAGAGGGGAGGGAGAAGAAGAAAGAGAAAGAGAGATCAGAGTTCCAATTAGCGATGAACACAAAACATACATGCGATAACGTTTTCACGGATAAATCGTCACTTTATCACGGAGGTGTGCCAAGCACAGATAGCCGGACGGAAATTCTTTCGAAGCGTTTACCTAGTGATTGCTGACAGAGGCAAGCCCCGTGGCGTGTGCTACGACGCATTATTCTCGAAATACGGCAGATCGGAAATTTCTGAGCTCGTCACTGACCCCTCCCCGCGGTCGTGCTCGCGTATGGTGCGTGTTTTTACTGATGTGGTCGACACTGATAGCCGCCGTAATATCTCGGCTGCGGGACCGCGATCGCCTGAGAGGGCGCGCCGAGCGCACGAGGGGCTCTTCCTGGCGCGATAGACGACCAATGCGGTGATAGTGCGGCCGGACAGGGCGACACAAGTGGCGGCCTGGCCCACTTCGACTGGCCCGGGTGAGGCAGGGACCGCTCGGACCTTGTTCTCTATCGGACCATAAGACGAGCTCCTGCCCCTCCCTGGTATTCATGTCAAGGAATGTCGCTCCCGCAGAGAAACGCAAACAGCTCTGACTGATCAGCAGCTCTGCGGCGACTGTTGAGCTCCCAAAACCCAGACAGACTCGTGTTTCGTACCTGTTTGACCCGAAGCGCCGGTGACTGCTGGATGGCTCCCGGCTGCTGCGGCTGGCTGGTCGCCACCGGGGCGGCCGGCTCGGGCGGCGGCGGCGGAGGCGGCGGCGGGGGCGGGGGCGGGGGCGGCGCGGTCGCCGGTGACACCGGCCGCGCGCCCGTCAGCGGACAGGCAGCAGCAGCGGCGGCGGAGGCGGTGGTGTTGGTGTCCTCGGGCAGTGACTTCCAGAGCTCGTCCTGTAGCGGCAGACCGTGAGCCTTGGCCTGCAGCTCCAGCTCCTGAGGGCGGGAGGGAGAGAGCAGGTCAGGTCAGGTCAAGTTATAATCAGGCCAGGTCGGGTTAGCTCAGGACAGGTGTGGTCAGGTCGGGTCAGCTCAGGCCAGGCCAGGTACGGTCCAGTCAGGTCGAGTCATGCCAGGTCAAGTCAGATCAGGTCTGGTCAGGTCAAGCCATGGTCAGGTCAGGTCAACTTATAGTCAGGTCAGGTAGGTAAGGTGATTCCATGATTGATTCGTGACAAGTCAGATCGGATGGCAGGATGTTTTGCACTAATGGTATATAGCTTATGCGAAAGTAATACGAATGCATGTCACTTCCCGCAGGAAAAGCATATTCCCGCCGCAAGCTCTCCGTTCTAGCCTTCCGAGTTCATTAAGGCAGACTATTCCTCACTGGTAGACCCAGACGCAGCGCAGCCCTAAGCGGCCTCGATTCGTCGGCGGCCGGTCGGTGATGTTTGCGGACCGGGTGATACACATTGCACGCGCTATAAAAACGAGGATGTGTAGTTAGCCCGCTCTGGTGTGTCTCCGCCGCCGTGGCCTGCGCTCTGAGTCGACAGAGGATGCGCTGCGTCTCGCCGGTCCAAGTCCCTGAGGCTGCTAAATTCCACGAAAAGATGTGACACGCAGTCCATCTGCATGTATGCAGGTTTATTGTAGGTATAATGTATAACTAATTTTATGAATATTCGCCTCCAACGGTCTAACGCAGTCGCGTTCGTCTGCGATATCTTACCGACTTGTTTTGCCGGCGTCATATTGTTTCATCTTTTGACGAAGACGAAGAGCCCCTTTTCTGTGTCACCAAAGGTGAACGATTAGCATTCCAAAGGCGCAATAGCAGGGCATTCAGCGTGTGTATCTGCCCGAACCTACCTATTTAAATAGGACAGTGAATAATGTGCGCTGAATACCAGCTCGGCTACTTGTTGATTTAGGTGCACGTCGCAACATCGCTGATGTAGGTACCCAAGTCATAGTTTTTACTTTTTGTGTCCTCCCCAGTCGTAATGTGGGTCATCAAAACATAAATGTGCCTGTCGTAAGTGAAGCAAACATCCACAGCCCAGGGCATACATAATTCATCAAATAATACCACCTTTAAGTGAAACCACTATCACCAATTGACCGGAAGGCCATTCATCCGCGCTGCTCCCAAGTGCCGCACGTGACTGACGAGACACCATTTCGGAGGGCCGGCCGGCGTGTGGCGCCCGTTGGCGGCAGCCACAACACGCCGGGTAGGCGCTCCCAGCCGCCAATTAGTCAGTTATCAGCCGGCCGTCGGTCGGGAGACGATGACGGATTCTCGCACGGAGAAGCGCGCCGCGCCGCCGGCGCAGAGAGCTGTTTACAATTTCAAATTGCCGCCCGTCGCCCGTCCTTCGGCCCCGAGTATAAATGGAGGCCGGAGCAGCCACGCACAGAGGTAAATGCGTGCGTGGAGTCGGTTTGGCCTCAGACCAGGCTAGGGTAGCTAAGCTCAAATAAGGAACGCCAGGACATCATGAGAAGGGAGGTTTGGGAGCGTACCAATTTGATATGAGGTAACATTAGTAGGTTAACATAAGTAGCTCAGGCAAGGCTGGATAGGTAAAATCAGGTCATGCGGCATGGGAAAGGTCAGGCTAGACTGGGTCAGGTCAGGTCACCCAGTCGCAGCGCTGAGGTCAGGTCACCCACAATATCTCTCTGTTACCGTTCCAGCCTCATCGCTCACCAATCCTTATCCCAAGTCTATCCAGACAGTGTCAGAAGAAAGTGGGATGTCTGGGTCGGCTCATCGGTTAGCGTTCCGAACGAACCGGTTACATTCCATCTGCGAGAGATCGGTGTCCCGACACACCATCCAAACCGATCCGCGGCGGACCCCACGCTGGCTGAACGGTGCGCCGGGCCCAATTCATCGCGGCGCGTATCACCGCCGCTTCTCCCCGACACTCGCAGCACGATACCCGCCCAACTCATGAATCCCAGATAGGAGATTGTCCGCAGGAAAGTGGCGACTCTGGAGTGGCTGGTGCGGCCACTTGAGAGCTCGGGCGAGTCAGGATGGGGAGGGTCGGGTCATCTGCACCGCGACAGGCCGCGAGCGCTCTCGAAACCTCGGGTCAGGACGCTGATAGCAGTGCAGAAGACTGGGGAGGAGGCCGCGAGTTCGACGCGGGCGGGAGGGACCGTCTCCGCCGCGGCGATGTCGGCAGTGATGGACGCGTCCCTGAGGGCCGCTGACCCGAGTGGCGGGGACGACGGCTTCTCTCCCAGAGACAGCGGTACCCACCGGGTCCAGCAGGCACCGGGACAGCGCGCCCACCGGGTCCGACCGACACCGGGGAAAGTCGGGACATTTATCGGCAGCCCATGCCCATGGGTTACATATCCGCGGCGCGGGGCTTACATAACAGCCAGACGTGACTTTCGGCGGCGTTTTTGCGACTTCTTTTTGCACTCATCCGAGGAACTTTTAGCGCCACCATTGATGACAGTTTTTGTGAGTAAACATAACGTCGGTTTCTTTAACAAGGCAGTTTGTGTCTCCGAGCAAAGACCGCGTAGTTCGCGTCTAAAATGTCCCAGCGGCTCAGACTTCCAAGAAATTATACTCATTTAGCTAAAACCATTAATCATTAAATCTGTTAACGTCATCAGGTAATCAACCATAGCATGATGGTGGGAAGCCACTAAACATTACGGAAAGTAGAATATTCCATTCAGAAGCCAGTGAATGACAAGTGTCATTTCATTCACGGTCTGTCGGCCGTCGTCTTCACATCGTGTTTCGTCATCTCTGCGTGTTGTGACCGCGCCTTTCCACCTGTTTCCACGCCCCTGGACCACCCGCCGGGCCGACGCCCTGGCCCATCAGACACCCATCCAACGACCCTCCCGCCGTCCCATCAAATGAGGCCGTTCACGCGGCCGACCCGTGCCGCCCGTGCGGCGTGCGCGCATGGAAGAGGGTCTCAGAGTTGGGCGCACAGAGGGCTCTGGGTGGTCAGGTGGTACTGCAGAGATAGCCGTCAGGACATATACATACATTGTCTGCTCGACAACCTGTCCCGTGACCGGCGGGCGCCCGGTAACTACCCTCGGGGTAGGCCGCCGGCCGGTAGTGAGGGTGCAGCCGCCAGCGGACACCTCATGGTGAGTGGTGACGGTATAATGGTGGGTGAGATGGACACCCAAGCAGCTTCCCTGGCAACTGGGAGTGGCGGAACGGCGGAGTGAGAACTCGGGCCTGGATGGACCCGGACTGGACACGGGATCTCCCGTAGTAACCAGAAGCTTCAGGGTAGGGTCCCGGACTGGGACGGAAACTCCCCTGGTAACTAAAAGAGGCGGGGCAGGGACGCAGGACTGGATGGGCCCAAGATAGGCGGAGAGAAGCCCAGGCCAAGTCGGACTGGGTGCGAGCGGCCTTGGTGGGCACGCCACCGGAGAGAAGCGCTCAGCTAATGGGGGTTGGACAGGTCCGAGAATGAGGACCGGACACTTCACGACCTCTCTTTAAAAACGGCAGAACAATGAAACCGTGGCATGGGATGAACATTGAACAGGGAAAGCGGTAACGTTCACTGATGTGCTTCGATTGGTAGGATGATAGTCAGAACGGTGCATTGTTGGGGAGGAGTATGAATGGAGCGAAAACTATGGCCATTAGAGCAAATATTAAACCGTTAAAATGCACATTAGGGGCAACGAGCAATGACCATGCTGGATAGAAAGCTATTGCCAGAGAGAAAATATCATTTGTTCTTGGAAGAAATGCTATTCGAGCAATGCTCGCAATGCCGCTCTATGCTTTACGCTACTTTCCAGATTGATTACGGGCATGTGTGCGGCTCGAGTTAATGGCTCGTACCTACAGGCCTCCGGACAGCTCCTATATCAACACGGTGTGTTTTTGCCCGATAAGGGTCGGAGATGACAGGGAAATGATAGGGTCCCGGCTAAAATACAGCCTACCATACACTGAACGATATGAGCCAGCCCTCGATACTGTCAAACGGTGTCTATTACGTAAATATGACGGTTAATTACGTAACATATGAGCACAAATAATACATCTATCATCTATCATCTATCTACATCTATCAGTATAGACATTGACGGCACATTTAACAGAAAACTAAATGCCTATAAGAGATGGATAATTGTTGGTTTGAATAAGATGAAATTAATGTTACCTATATCTGATGAACTAAACCATTTATCGGACACCTAAGATACTAAAACCACAATATCGTTGGCAAGTTCCTGATTACAAAAGCCACCGGTTATAAAGTCTTGTTGGATCACTTAGCACGGAATTTCAACAGGCATTCACAATAATCGTTTATCATCAGTACTTATCTGCAGCATTTTCATCTTCAAAAAGCTCTCAACTTGATGGTGCAGCTTTGAGTGTTTCGTCCCTATTCAATTAAAGCCAGCTGACTATTGTCCACAATAATAAAACATATTTCTTTCCAAATGGCAACCTTGAAATGCTCGTATGACTTATACCAAGACTTGCAAAAAAATCGTTGAAATAAGAGCACATAACCCAGCTGACCCACCGACCGACAGCGTTGCAATGGTGGCATATTTACGAAAGGAGCTTTAGGTGGAAAATGAGGCCGACAAAGACCCGCATAGATCCGGCTGACAAGCCGCAACACTAGGTCAAGGTAGCATAGACAGCTGATCCTGGATCCTAAAATAAGGCACGCAGGCATAAGCACGCTGAGGCGGAAGACAAAATCCAAAATTCGCACACGAACTCTGCGAGTTCCGTAAATCACACTTACGCCCGCCACATGCTTCTTCCTTGGATTTTCCCATAACGTGAACAAGTAACATTTTGGATGATCGTCGCCGATATATCGATCTTATACCCGGCCAGGCGGAATGACTATAGTTAAGAGGAATGCATTCAGCAAGGACGAGCTTAGCTAACGTCGTGTCGTGTTCGGTCAGTTCCGTACAAACGGCGCCCGATGAAAATGCTAACCGGCGCCCACGCCTAGACCACCCCTCCCTCGGCCGGATCATTATGCTCGGCTCGATCGGTTAGCTATTGATTAGAATTGGTTACTATGCTAATTGCTAGCCACTCCGTGAGTCCGTCCGGCTCGTGGCTCGGACACGAGATTGTCACGTCTGATAGGGGCGAGGGCAGGCGGAGCCACTCCCCGTATCGTCTGAACTGGCCTTTATGCACCGGGTACCTCATCTCATCAAACTAGGTGAGACAGCACGCATTCATTGCACCGCATTACAGAGTCCGACCCCAGAAATTACAATGTAGAAAAAGTCCGCCACCCGCTATTCCGTCGACACGAATTTCACGGTACCGGGGCAAGGTTGCATCTGTAAGACATAACGGACCGGGGTCGGGAACAAGCGGCCATGTTTTATTCAGACAAAGTGAACGGTGGACTATGTATTGAACCGGTAGCTTGAAATTTAAATGTCAAACCGTTATTCTGTGTTTAAGAGGGGCCCATACGGCTTATAAGGCTAAAGGTCTGGATAGTGATTTGACTTTTAGAAGTGAAAGTGGCGCCGGGACAAAACTAGACCGGGCCCGTTAACAGTGCATTGGCCAATGGCCACCGGTCATGGCATATCATACATGAATCACATTCAACGCATAATGATGCCACTGCAAGTACAAAAGAGGAATACTTTCATGATAAGATACTCATATGGCATTTAGTAGACATATAGACGTTATTTCGTACAGTCAGAACTCAGAGAAGACAGTCAATTCACTGAACTATTTCTGCGGGGATCCCATCCCGCCCAGTGCAGTGAACCAGTAAATATCACACTGACATTTGGCGCGGGCCCTTGAGTCAGCTCAACCTCAGTTTCCAATATCGGCCCTGAGGGTGGCTGCCACAGCTCTACCCAATAGTTACCCAGAGCAGACCGTATTCATCAAACTATTTCTGCGGGAATCCCGTCCAGTGAATCCAGTACTGTCATCCAGTACTGTGCATATCTGACTTCTACGAACGGTGTTGATTTTGGGGTTTCGTGGTACTGCCTTAGTGTGTCCGAGGACGCTGTCCTGTTGACCTCTGTGACCCCGCGTGACCTGGTGACCTCGAGTCTCCTCCGAACTGACCTGTATCCGCAGCAGGAGCCGCCGGTTAGCCTGCTCCATCTGCTTCTGTCGCGCCTCCAGCTCCTTGGCTCGTTCCAGGTCCTGTTTTAATCTCCGGATGTACTCGACTGAGGCCTTCAGGATGGAGCCCTTGTTCTGGCGGCAGTCCCGTGATATGTCGTGGTACCTGCAATAAGATCGGTCATATCAGTAACCTATACTGTGCGGCTGTGAGAGAAATTGAAATAATGAAGCAAGCGGCTATTTCAAATAATGATAATCGTCCTAAAACAGTTTGATATTATCCTCTATAGAACGTTCACTTATGTTCGGAGATGTGGTGGTGATAAGAAGGCTAAGCTAATATCTACATTTTGAAACGATTCGAACACTTCTATATTGTCCCAACATCTCACACTGATAGTAGAAGTACGTAGTTACAACAGTCGTCACCAAGTACCACAGTCTTAGACTAGACACATTGTCTACTGATAATCATTATCCGGATAAGCACCATCCATGATAATCTCAGCAGGTCAAGGAGAATACCTGAGCGTTAAAAGCCGAGCTTGTTTAAAATGCCGGTCAAGAGTCTGGTCGGCCGGTCGGTATCTCACGAAGTCGCCGGACAAGTGGCCGATACGATACGGGATCGTGTTTGCGCAGTGATAGCGGGCACCCACTCGGGGGAATCTGAGGCCGTGGGTACTCACAGGTCACTCGATTTGGGCAGCAGCGTCCCCAGCTCTTTGATTCGGTCGTTTATATTAAATCGTCTTCTTCGTTCGACTGAAACAAAACGAAGGAGTTACCATGTAAGCTAGGTTTAGCAAAAGTTATCAGCTGTGTACAAAGCTGTGCTGTTTCAAATCAAAGACTTCGTGAACAAGAAGGAAAAAGACATACATAGAAGTATCGGCATAAAATATTGTCAATAATTTAGCATGCAACGTCTTGTCCTCACGCATACGACAAAGTAAGTGTTTATTGAAAGGAAAAGCATGGCTCCTTCACAAAGACAAGTAAATAGCAGCCGATAAATAAATAACTACATTGTGAATGCACCAGACCAGGAGCAAACAGCTCGTTCAATCAGTAAAAAATAAATGAATTGGCTCGACACTCCGATAACAAATCGGTTCGCAGAAGTAGCTTAACTTTGATGGGTTTGGACAAAAAACAGCAAAAGTCGTTTCACACCGACAGTGATTGAGGAAAACAGAAAATATCGTCTATCTATCAAAGGCAGAACTACAAAAAGTCACCGCACCCTCGGTCACACGGGCCAGCCGGAGACACAGCTCAAGTGCCACCTAAAGCTCGCTGAACTTCATTAAAACGTTATTTTGTCGGAAGAATTAATACGTTCTAATACCCATTTTCTAATTCCTCTAGTAAAAAATCACACAAAAAACATTTATCATTCCCAGCATATCTTAAATTGTATCAGAGCATTCCTGTGTTCGACTGTGGACGTTGTATAACTTCCCCATAGCCACCAATCACAGATGGGCCTGTCGTCCGATCGCTACTCACTCATATTGTGGTTGTCTTTTTTCTGTCTGTCCTTGAAGAAGGACTGGAAGGCCTGGTCGGAGCTGAGGATCTCGTCGCTGTAGGGGTCGGCGCCGTCCGGACACGAAGCGGGGTCCTTGAGCAGCACCCCACGCGGCCCGGCCACAGAGCGCTCCTGGAGACTGGACGGCGTCTGCGGGAGACGAGAGACACAGGGTCTCAGGTCAGATCAGGTAAGGGGTCAGGTCAGGTCAGGTTATGGGTCGGGTGAGGTTAGGTTAGACAAGATCAGGTCAGCTCAGCTCAGGCCAGGTAAAGTTGATTGGAAGAAGTTTGGCCAATCTAGGCTTCTTCAGAACAGGTCAGGTCGGGTCAAATAATGTTAGGCCTAGTCAGGCCTCGTCAGTTTTCTAGATCAAGTTATGATGAGAAAAGTTCAAATCTTATCAGCTTCGAAAAAAGTGAGGTCAGGTCACGTTAGGTCACTTCAGGTGAAACCATGTCAAGTCAGGCCATGTCTAGTCAGCCTAGGTCACATCAGGTCAAGTCAGCTCAGGTCAAGTCGGGTGGATTCAGGTTAGAGCATGACAGGCCAAGTTCGGTAAGGTCGCGACAGGTGAAGTCAGGTTAGGTCACGTCAGGTCTAGATCAAATCCGGTCAGGTCAGATCAGGTAGGTCAGGCTGTTTGGATAATGAGTTTAGCCGGTTCCGGCCGGACTGAGTAGGCGTGACAGGGCATACTGCAGGGTGCAATGGGACGGGGGCTTCTGTAACACGCGGAGCACGGCACACACAGTCACCGGAGCCCCGCGTCGTCGGGACATGGTCCCTCACTAGCCGCGCGATGCACGGGCACGGCTACCATCTCCGTCGCGACGAGCCGTGCTCCGTAGCACCACTTAAACGATCCAGTCGGGACCAGATCGCACCAACGCCGTGACGTCACCAGCCCCCTCGTTACACCAGCCCATACACCAGCCGGACTGCCCAGTAACCGGCGGGCACCAGTCGACAGAACGACCGGCGAGAGACGGCGCCTCTCTAAACAGCCGCGCCGGCGCCGCCCGGCGACAGACCGCGCTGTCCCCGGCCCGTGCCGGGCGCGTGCCAGCGGCATTCCAGACAGACCAGAACTCTCTACTAACTACGAGCGGCGGCACCGGCCGAGTAAATTTACGCTACGCTATCTCAATGAGAAATGCAGTTAGAACCGGGAACAACCAACCGAGGTGGCACCAGAGGCCCCCGCGCGGCGGCGCGGCGGCGCCGGCAGCGGTGGCGCTGGAAGCACTGGTATGATGAATTGACCCAGGTCAGGGGCGGCGGCGAGCGACGGACGGCCGGACGGCCGGAGGACGGCGGGCGGTGGGCGGCGCCACGCATTGGTATGCGTTCCATGTGACACCAAGGCCGGCGCGGCCAGTACGGCCCGGTATCTATGACAGCATCGTTACGGGACCACTCCGGTCGGCTATCGGCCCGCGCCGCGCACGGTCCACTTCTCTTCTTCGTCCACCTCACGTCCTTTTCTCGGAAATTCGGGAAGAAAAGTGGCCGCTCGCCCCACAAACGCCCGACTCAGGAGACAGTTTTCACATGACTTCATCACCAAACGGTCGAGAATGGGATGACAGGGAAACAGCCGTATAATGCCATCTCGGCTGTCGAGCTCGATTGAATATCATAACCTCATTAGAGCTGCTGAGCAGGTACACACGAAAGCGAAGAGAGCTATGAAGCGAGCAAGCGATGAAAAGACCGCCATATGTATGCTACGCCATATACCACTATATATATGTTACAGGGAGTATGAGAAATCAGTTAGTTTGCAAACTACCTAGTGAGTTTGCAAACTCCCTGAACGATCAGGTAGTTTGCAAACTCCTAGGTAGTTTGCAAAGTACCTGGTCGAACAGGTAGTTTGCAAACTGCCTAGGTAGTTTGCAAAGTCCCTAGTTAGTGTGCAAACTCCCTAGGGTTGTTGCAAACTACCTAGGTAAAATGCGAAAACGACGAAACAACAGCCATATACGAGTACATACGTAGATAAGTCGCGGTGAATTGGTTCAGAGCTCAGAATGAAGCTTGGCAGCAATGGTGCATAACGAGACGATGTGGTGTTTTGATGACGCTCTTTCTCAGCTTACTATTTATTTTTTGTCTTGCTCGCAAATATCACCTTACAGATTAAGCAGACATTAAAGGAAATAGTTCACTTTTTAAACATAGGCGGCGGAACGGGGGGGGCACCGGGGCACCGTGCCCCCCCTTGAATTCTGCAAGGGGGGCACCAATAGCAAGGTGCCCCCCCTTAAATTTGATGTATTAGTACCAGGCGCGGATTCGGGAAAACTCCAAGGGAGGGTCATGAATCGAAGTGGTGCCCCTACCTATACCCAATTAAAACATCAACGGATTTCGGCCACTTAATTTTGGTGGTGCCCTATTTTCATTTTTTTTTCTTTATTTTTGGTTAGTCATGTGATGACTGGTGCCCCTGCTAGGCCGCTGGTGCCCCTGGAAAGACTGTGGTACACTCGGGGGCAGATTGATGTTCCACAACTCTTTATCCACCGGGCTCCTATGGCTCAGCATTGGCAGCAGCCGCCTGGTACCGGTAGACTGTGCCGCTTCACTTACTTGTCAAGCGGCACAGCCTACCCACACCGTATGCCACCGGTCTGGGTCGGTGGCTGTAAGGCGATGTGGGCCGCCTGTGACGTCAGCGCAGCGGTGAGGGCCGAGCCCGGAGGCATGGCTCGGGTCGGCGCGGCGTGGCGGCTGGCGAGGGCTGGGGAGTGAGGTGGGGTGGGAGCACGGACCATCGCGCGGCTGGGCGAGTGTAGTTAACTTTCGCGTCTCAAGGCGCCAACTATTCTACCTAACAATTGTGCTAAAGCAGTTGTTAAAATGTCCTATCCCCAAGACAGCGCCTATCATCATATTTGCCATGCACATTACGACACACTTAAACGTGACATTGGGACAGCCGATAGAATTTATATCACACGTGCATCGAGTTGCGGAGCTACATTGTTTTTAACAGATATGTATTAAGGCCTTGATTGAGCTCATTGGTGTCTATTATTTCGCACAGCAATCGTCCAGAGACGTGGGAACTGGGGTTTTTGGATAGCGCGGCGTCCCAACTCTTATGTTCCTCTAATGAGTGGTCGCAGCCACCAATAGCAAACCGTTCCATCAAGGAACAAATAAGTCGCGCACCTGGGACGGTTCGAACCGGGTTTCTCCAACCGGTCACCCCACGACGCTAGCCTGTATCCACTGAGCTGCCGAAACCAGCGACCACCCGCCGCGGTCAAACGCGATCAAATGTCACAATACTGTCATTGGCGGTCAGCGGGTGAATGTCATTTTGTTTTGTGCAGACGAGGACCATTCTCGGTAGCTCAGTGGATGAACGCTCGTGTCGTGAATTGGCCGGTGGGAGAAGCCCGGTTCGAACCCCCCTGAATGGCCGACTTTTATGGCTCCTAGTTGGAACGGTTTGCTATTGGAGGCTGCGACCACATATTAGAGCAACAGTAATAATCGCTTTAAATTGGAGCGTTGGCTGCGGCACTACTCATAACCCCCAGTTCCCACGTCTCTGGACGATTGCCGTGCGAAACAATAGACACCAATCTGCTCAATCAAAGCCTTAATACTAATATGTTATACAAAATATAGCTCCGCACCTCGATGCACGAGTGACATAAGTTCTATCGGCTGTCCCATTGCCACGCTTAAGTGTGTCGTAATGTGCATTGCAAGTATGATGATAGGCGCTGTCTTGGGGATAGGACATTTTAACAACTGCTTTAGCACAATTGTTAGGTAGAATAATTGGCGCCTTGAGATGCGAAAGTTAACTACACTCGCCCAGCCACGCGATGTCCGTGCTCCCACCCCACCTCACTCCCCAGTCCTCGCCAGCCGCCGCGCCGCGCCGACCCGAGCCATGCCTCCGGGCTCGGCCCTCACCGCTGCGCTGACGTCACAGGCGGCCCACATCGCCTTCCAGCCACCGACCCAGACCGGTGTCATACAGGTGGGTAGGCTGTGCCGCTTGACAAGTAAGTGAAGCGGCACAGTCTACCGGTACCAGGCGGCTGCTGCCAATGCTGAGCCATAGGAACCCGGTGGATAAAGAGTTGTGGAACATCAATCTGCCCCCGAGTGTACCTACCTACCCTGCCCCCTGACAAGCCTACGGTGGGCTCTGACATGACTTAGGTGCCCATGGGCCCTGACACGCCCGTGGTGCCCCTGACAGGCCTGTGGTGTCCCTGGGCCTTGGCAGGTCTGTGGTGCCCCTGGCGAGCCTGTGGTGCCCCTGTTAGAACGCAGGTGCCCTTGACAGGTTTGTGGTGCCCCTGACAATCCTAAAGTGCCAACGACAGGCTTGTGGTGCCCTTGACAGGCCCATGGTGCCCTTGCGAGGCCGGTGGTTCCCCTGCGAAGCCAATAGTGCCCCTAGCAGGCCTCTGGTGCCCCTGGCAGGTCTGTGGTGCCCCTGGAAGACCTGTAGTGCTTTTGCTAGGCCGATGGTGCTCCTGACAGGCCTGTGGTGCCACTGACAGGCCGTGGTGCCCCTGCTAGGCCTGTGGTACCCATGGCGGGCCTGTGGTGCCCCTGTCGGCTGTCAGGCCTGTGGTGCTCCTGGCAGGCATGTGGTGACCCCAGGCCCTAAGTCATGACCCATGTGACCTCCCCCCTGAGATTCGCCACTGATAAGTACTGCCATGGCTTCTTGGGAATTCGATACATGCAGGATAAATGGAATTTATCAAACGACAATAAGGAAGAGACAAACACATAGGTACTTGAGGATCAGCTTAACCCTCGCCGGCACAGGCCATTTTGCGTCCTTCGACGGCACGCTAGGGGGGGGGGGTTGGTACGACCCCCCCCCCCCTAGCGTTTGGCCCCTGATAGAGCTAGAGCTTCGCGGTAAAAAACGAGCGTGTTGTTCGTCACGAGAGGAAGCCGATGGTACCCAATTTTAAGGTCCTAGGTCATCGGGTGACCTTCCAGGTCAGATCAATGACCCGAAAACCGGGAAAATCGGGACCTGTTAGAAAGTCGTAAGGTGTGGCTGCTATGTGGTTTTCGGGGGTGCTGATCACGAATATCGTATTAGTTTTGATCAGAGATGATGTCTTTAAGCATTTAGACCAGGTCGGGTCAGG